AATAAACACAGAAAATAACACACCTTAATTTGTTGCTGCACAAATTAAGGTGTGTTATTTTCTGTGTTTACTATTACATGCTGAACACTTTTAATGTTTTCGAAATAATACTAATATCGAAGCGCCTCTGATGGCAAGTGTTTATGGTGAATAAAAAATATTATAGGGAATACGAATGAAAATTATTTAAAATTATTTTAGTAGTTTGAAAGCTTGAATTCCGACAAATACGAATCTGATTAATCTATTAATTTACTAGCTGTTACCCGCGACTTTGTTCGCGGAGGTTTTGCAAGCAAACCCCATTTATATTCAGTATTTCAACAACCATAGTAATTGTTATATAACATCTACCGCTGAGAATGATGAGAATTGCCGAGAATCAAACGAACTATTTTCAATTTGATCAATTTTCTGGAACGTTTACAATCGTTCTATAATCGAACCAATATGCAATAACAAATTCGAATTAAAAACGGTTCGAACATTTGGTTAAAAAATCTAAATACTGTATATATAAATATTTATAACAATATCTGAAATTTTATCAATTTAATACACATAAGTACTCAATGAAGACTAAACGTAGCTGAAAACAACAAATCGCATCTAAAATAGTACAGTTGAAGCCGTTTTTCCTGTTAAGTTTTAATGCTCTCCCTCTCCCCCCGCTGGGGAATTTCGAAAAATCCCTTCTTAGTGTGCATTCCCATGACGTACCCTAACTGTGTACCAAATTTCACCTCTTTAGGTTCAGCGGTTTGCTCTAGGCGATGATGAATCAGTGACTAAGTCAGTCAGTCAGGACAAGTAATTTTATATATTTAGATTAGTAATGTACTTAAGTCGAGTGCGCATAACAGTAATATTGGAAAAGATTTAGAAAACAATTAAAACAATTGAAATATCAACTGCATAATCCATTACAGTAGATAATTTACGGTCGATCTCCGTTCGTTTTTGTTTTTTCCATTTCTCTTTGTTCTTGTTATATTTTCGGTTCGTTTTCCGTTTTTCAAATTTTCCGAAAACCTTGCATAAAATAGCTTGTTACGGGCTTAATTAAATGTTTCTTCGCTATAAACAAGAGACTATGTACAATTTGGGCGAGTGGTCTCCGTTGCCGCTCATCGTAGTGGTGACCAGACCCTAAAGACTGGGAGGTTCTTCGTGGGTTCGCGCCACGGTCGGACAGGCTGGCTGCTTGGAGTTTTCCGGGTTTTCTCCTTGCCTATAACGACTGAATAGGAGGCCAGTTCCCCATAAAAGTCCTCCCGGAAGGCATTTATTTCCCGCGCGTACCGTACGTATGGCTGTGCGATACAGCCGGCTAATCGGTCGCCTAGCGATCATACACAAGTCTACTCGGAGAGAGCCTACATTGAGCTAAAATCTCCATATAAACACCATCGAAGAAGAAAGAAAGAAAGACTATGTACAATTTCCTGAATTATTTCGTTAACTGAATACGGAAATTAATTCGAATGTTATACATTTCCCTCGAACTGCATTCGAAACCTCATTGTACGGCCATATTGAATTCTCAGTTGTATCCATGGCGGCGCAACGTAAAGTTGGAAGCGCCATCTCTATATAAAATGTAATTTAACGAAAAAATTACGGGAATATGTGGCTATTTTCGAACGAAAAACTTGTCTTCCTATTTTTTTTCTCATCTTTGCCAAAAAAAAAAAAAAAAATTTGCCATCTTTAAAATTTAAATATTGATATCGATTTTTAAACGTATTAAATGAATATACACGTACGTTTCGGTGATCGTGGCTGAGTGTCAATCAATTGATTTACAGTATTTCTAATACCACAATTGCATTTTATCACCGATTTAATGTTGATTCGCTGCTCATGATGTCTTTTTTTTTGTGCAAAGACTATAAAAGAAAGTTGAAAACCATATTGGTACGTTCACAGTAGGGGCGCCAGTGCTCCCGTTGTTGTAGGGTTGTCCTTTTCTTACTCACAAAGGAGCTCTAGAGTTTCAATTTATTTTTAAATAAAGTACTAATTTTTATCATAGAAAACTTTTTTACTGATGACAAAATTAACTTGTCGTCAATAACCGAAAATTTGTTCTAGCGGGTCGATCACTGAAGTACCGCTGTATTTCATTAATGCAATTTCGATATAAGCGGTAGCGCGAAGGGATTAATTAACATACCATCACAATTTATATGAAAAATATCAATTTTTCAAAAATAGAATTTTATAACATTAAAATAAATATTTATTGATTTTATTCAACAAAATTGAACAAAAACATTCTTCAATGTTCGAACTTCTCGAATTTACGTGTAATTCGAATACTTTGTGGCGTTAAACAGATAATCGTAACGACAGGGAATATTTCTATGTATTTTATCTATCTCGGGAGATAATTTTAGAAAAATGTATTAAGAACTGGGACTAAAAAGAATATTTATATTTTCATTGCTTATTCTTTCTGATAATTGGTCCAAAAAAAAAGACTATAAAAGGAACTTCGATAAACTAACCGATTCAGAATTCAATGCCCAGTGGAGCGTTATCCTATGGGCAAAAAGGACAATTGTCTGGGGTCCCCACTAACGAAGCCCCAAACCAAACTTTTTTAAGAAAATATTCCCCCGAAGAAAAATGTCACGGGGACCCCTAGTTCAAATTCTCCTGGTTCCAAAAAAGCTATAACGCGCCACTGATGTAAATGCTACAAAATCTAATGGATGAGATCGAGTCGTTTTGCTTGACAGTAATAATCAGAATGGAATTTCTAAAAGCTTTATACAGTAACAGACTTTAATGAAATACTCATTTACTGTCAATGCATTTTCTACATTCGATGCACATACATCAATCTGGGAGATCCAGATTCGAGTACGAGCAGTTGAAAAGTCCCAGGAATTATTCGGTAGTAGTACTGTACGTTCCGAATATGTCTGATGTTATGCCGCCCATTGTCTGGTCGAATCCACGATAGGCCTGAAAAACTTCCTCTTAGTGACCATACGGCGGAGAGTCCGAAAAACAAACGGTATACACCTTGTTCCAATATAACAACATAGTTTTATTTATCATAATAGTTAAAATTAGTGCCAATGTTTTTATATTGGAATATGGTGTATACTGTACTGCTTAAAATATTTAAACACTTCTCACCTGTTAACGTGTAATAAACATGCTATCACATGTTTACAAAAACCAGACGGCCCCGCTTTGCACGTGCATTCTCCCTGTAATTGAGATGTATTAAAATGCCAATATCTGAGATTGCAACACTAAAGCAACAACATGAACTTCTGTGTTATTGTTACAGTTTAATCCAAAAAATACGTGTCCAGCATCCAAAACGGCTTCACCTTCTACAAGACAACGTTTCCTGTCGCCGATATAGTCTAGAATTTGACATAAATTCAATGATTTTTTTCTCCATTTGGTCCTCGCAGTAGTCGTCATCGACGGAAACTGAACAAACACATAATCGGTTCCTTACCTGTTTCGGCAGCCGTCTTGGTTCAAAAACAGCGCCCTCTGTCGGATTTCGCGCTTGCCATATTTTATAATCTCATTAGAGGACATCATCTTTCATCTGTTGCAGATTGAAATAGAAATAATGATACCTAGTTTTGGAACTTTGGGTTAGTTACAAATCAATATCCCTTTCTTTTGTCCGCTATAGAATGGCGGAAAAATTCTGATGCAAAATTATCTACTAAAACCATTAGGAAGACTATAAAAGATAAGTGACTCGGATCGATGATGATTTTTGACTGATGCAAATGAACCTAATTTTGAAGATAATGTCTCTGTGCATTTAAATTATATATTACTTTCTGCAGATGAAATAGAATGAATCTGCATTACAATGTGATTAATTATCAGATAAAAGTGGACACATTTTGTCAACTTGCCCTGTCGCATTCTTATACTTCTCAAAGAAACATTGAGTGAAGTATTCCTGGTGCAAAAACTGTGCCCTTAAGTCACTTTAGCATTGCTTGTGTAGAGGTTAATGTTTGATAATGCAATGGTATATTCGGTTGTGCAATTTACTAATTATATATATATGAGATGCGTACCAATATAAGGAGTAATCCTTATATCGGTACAAGTCACGGATTCGTTAGTTTTATTTACTCTCTGTTTACGCTGATAGTAACCACTTTGGTTATGCACGCGATCAGCGGCAGATTGCGTTAAAAGTGGATTTTCTCACAAAAAAAAGCATTATATCTGCTGGAGATTGCGTGCATTACCAAAGACGTTACAATCAGCCTTAATTCAATTGAATCCTAAATTTCTATCAAAACTAATTTGAAGAAATTGGGTTAATTCATAACTTGAAGTTAGTACACTAACACGAAAAGTCCCCACGCGACAACTTCGTGTTAATTCTAGGATTCATACAAAAAATAAAAATGAAATATTATTATAATTTACACATCATGGTTTAGGTAATATTAGTTTCTCAAATTGTTATCGGCAATCCTGTATATAAATTCATTAAAATTTAAAATTTGTTTTTCATAAGATAAACACTAAATTCGGAACTAAAAAAAAACAAAAAACGATCCTTTTGAAAATCTGACGTTCACTGGAGTATGTAATTTAAAATTCTCCATAAAGTATTATATTATTTTATTGGTTTAATTCTTTAAAAACGGGCTTGATTACAATTGTTTATAACAGAACAAATATAGGTATTTAATTATCAAATAATGCCTAAGGATAGTTTTATTAGGATCACATAACATAATCATTTTACTAAATGTTGCACAAATATATAAATTTAAACTGGAAGGAAAAAAAATTGTAAATACACAGTTTAAAAAATAAAATAGTTCAAGAACTTATCTATGATTTAATTCTTATTTTTAGATTTGGTTTGATTTAATTTCTGAATAACTGCAAAAGATAAAGTTAAAATTTAAGTTTAAGATTTATCAAATTATACTCATTGAAAAGTAAAATTTACAAAATTAATAATTTCTTCTTATAAATTTACTGTTTTAAATGTTTTTTTTTTCCTTGCTTATCATAACAAAAAATGTTTTCCTTAATCTTAAAAATCAAAATCTTCAAATATTAAATCATATAATTCAGGATTTGACATTTTATTGCTCCAGACAAATTACTCTCATACATAAAACGCTTTCAAAGCTATTCTGTGTACCTCTATTGTTCTTGTTATATACAAAAGATTGACAACACCAATGCTGTCTGGTATCAGCTGATAGATGATACTCGAAATTTGGAATGGCAATTTTCAAATTTAACATTTCTACCAATTTTTCATTTCATTTTATTCTTTTTTTTTAATAAAAAAATTAAATGCTAGATTTGAAGTTGCACACAATCTTAAAAAGTAGATTTGACAGAAAATGATTTGGATTATTCTTTCATACAGTACACACCGTCGAAATAAAATGTTACGACATACAATACATCACACACCTATGATTGTATTCAAGAAATTCAAGAAATCACAATATTTCGGTGTTATTAGCACCCATAATTTTCCATACTCAATACCTGTAATGCAATTTTGAAAATTTAATTATTATAATAATAATAATAATACTCGTCTTTACCGAAGTAAACAATTAAAAAAAAAAGAGCTTTAACTTTTGAAGAAAATACTTTACAAACATTAAAATGTGTGCTTTTAAAAATACCTTATAATTGGTTAAGGTATTTTAATTACAAACATATATACTGTATATGTATATATATACAATGTTTAAATATTGGAAATTAAAAAACTTTCACTTACAACTAAGAAGACAAATATTATGGATGTTCTGTACAATGTATTAAATCAAACTGTACAATGTACTATTGTTGGAAAGAAAAATATATATATATTTATATAGATAGATATATATATATTAAATGGATATAGCAAGTTAGGATGCAATTTACTGTAATTAATAAAAGTTCCCTATATGCTAATGATGATGGAACGGGAGGAAAATCACAATGACTAAACATCAAACTACCAAAAACTTGCTTTACTGCCGATATTGTGTACAAATCACACAACATGCAGTAAACAAGATTAAAAAATTTTAATATATAGTAATGTAATACTGTAAGTGCTAAAAATTTTGCCATACATGAAGTGTTTCATAATAAATGGCATGTTATTTTATGTTTTTAATCGATATCTAGTTTTAAAGAGCAATTAAAATTAAGAGGAGGAAAATTCACTCAAAAAAGAGAGGGGGGAAAAAACCTAATTATTAATAAATAAATAAGTAAAATGTGAGAAATTTTAAAATTAATAAAATTGTAAAATTACTTTTAAAAAAAATCATTCAGTACAAGCAACTTTATATTATGAAACACATGATAGCTAAAATCACAAAATTTATCATGAGATTTTATGTAATTTAACAATGGAATAAAAATAAAAATCAAATATTATCATGCAGAAACAGTTTCCACCATTGTTTTTTTAATGATTTCTCCAAAATTCTCGCTGAATTCTTCATTCCTATCAGTCTGTACTTCATCTATTTTGTGACCATTTTCATTTAAATTAAAATTACTGTTCTGTGTTAATATATTAGCTTTATCTGTTTCTAAATTTACTGGTTTAATAGCTGTGATATCTTGTACTTTAGAACATAGAAGACCACTGTATGATTCTGTATCTGTTCCTGGTACTGCTGAGCTAAGTTCGGTGTAACTATGTTCATCTTCTGGTATGTGACACGCATTTTCTGAATGATTATCCAAAACTTTAGAAATACTTAATTTTTTATCAAGACAAATGTTGTATTGGTCTTTTGAATCAATATTATGCTGATGCTCTAGCATTAATCCAACTTCTGAACAGGAACCTGCCTCCAACAATTTATGAGAAGATATATTATCCTCATGAATATTATTCAAAGAATTACTATTTTGAAGTTGAAGTTGTGATTGAGGGTTTTCAAAATGTCTATTTAAACCTGTGTATCGATTTTCACTATTAAAATCATTTCCATTATTATTATTATTATTGTTGTTGTTGTTGTTGTTATTGTTGTTAGTATTAGAGGTATTATTATTGTTGTAACAAGACCTGGCAGCATTGTTTTGTGTGCTTTGAAATTTGCTAAATGATACATGTTCAGAATAAGTTGGAGGATTTGAATTAAGGGACCTATTAAATGATACTTGAATTGTACTTTGTGTATGAGCAGTGTCAACACTATGGTCGGAATCAAAATCATCACTGGAATAATCAGAATTTTCCGAATAGGAGCTATCTTCTGGACTAAATGGCGATCCGTACATTTCTGTACTTTCTTCACTATTACTATATTCTTTCTCTGCTTCACCAAATGATACAAAAGTTGGCTCTTCTCTTTTGTTGCTTAACATACAACTGGTACCCTCTATGTTACTGTTTTGAGGAGTAATTGGCATACATGATGATGGAAAAGAAATACAATTAGAGAGGGGTGTTGTAATACTATTACAACCATCATATGAGGGTAACGAAGGAGATGCAAATGATGTTGAACAAAGCATTGTATTCATACTTTTGCCTAAAAGTTCTTGATCTTCCTTTTCCAATTTCAATCTCATTAAAGTATGGATAAAATGTGTTCTTACACGGAGAGGATTAAATTCAATTCGTCCTGATAAGTTACCACAACCATCTCGAGTACAACCACATGGAAACGATAAACGATCTACCTGACATTTAATGCCTGCTTGACTACAGGAACATGCATCTGGATCACAATATATTTTACACTCACATCCACAGAATTCTCGTGACGCTCTAATATCTCGACATTCTTCCTTCTCTAATGAATCAATCCTCCTCACACCCGATGCTCTAAGCATTGCTCGACGTTGACGGATCGGAACTGGTTGGAGAAAATAACAACTATCAGCTTCTAATTCGGAATCTGAAATATCACTTATATCTTCACTCTCTTCAGATTCAGAAGTTGGGTTCTGATGTTTGGCAGTATGCCGCTGTTGAAGTAGTATGTCACGGTGAACTTTCTTTCTTTCCTCCGAATGTTCTTGCAGAGAAAACTTTTTAATTTGACAATGTTTCAGATCCATTCCTAAAATAAAAATTTTTTTTATATAAATATGTTATTATTACATTATTTTAAAGTTATTTCTGTAATTGCATATAAATATTTATTATGAAAATTCAATGAAAATACAGTAATCAAAATAATTCAATAAAGATTCATGTAATTTTTAAAATATTTATTATTAAACACTAAATCTTCATAAATTTGTCTAAACTTTTTAATTGGTTATCATAATTTGAGAATCTATGAAATTTGAGAAACATTTAATAAAACATGAGCGTTTCTTTTATATTAAGTGATATTAATTGTAAACATTTTCTTAATTAGCTTCACAATAATTCCTTAAAAAGCAATGTATAATTTATTTGTGTAATTATTGTGTGTCAATGTAAGCAAATGATATTATATTGTATGCATATTTTAAATTATGTCTAATCTAACTAAGTACTCTTATATACTTGTCAACCTCTTTCCACACTGATACATAAATATGAGTAAATTAGAAACAATATGAAATAAAATTATAATTAATTCCTGTTTGTTTTTTCCACAGCTACATAAATCAAAATTTAAAACTGAGTATAGTTAAACACTTATTTACTTCACTAAAATTCAATAATACTAACATTTAAAAATATATAGTATTATATAAACATCAACTCACAGCCCGAGTAGATAATAACACCACCAAACGATCACCTAATTAAGAGATGGCGCCTAACGCCTACCTCTAATTGTCAAATTACTTAGTTCCAATCATTTAAAATAGCCATATTATAGCCCGATAATTAGGCGATCGTTTGGTGTTGTTATTATCTACTCGGGCTGTGAGTTGATGTTTATATATATATATACCTCGCCGGGTGTTACGTTAGCCGGCTGAGTACCGTTAGGGTCGTGGGCGAAGGAGTCGTCCCCAGTCGGTGATGTATTTAACCAAGTAAGGTTATATCTAAATCTATATACTTCTGGAAGCGAAGACTCGCTCGGGGTCCGGGTGGCGTAACTGGCAAGCGCACCGCACGGCAAGCGGAGGTTGCGGGTTCAAGCCCCGTCCCGGGCCAGTTCTTTTATTCCAGAATGTTCTAAATTTATTTATTTAATTATTAATTTAATTAAGAGATGGCGCCTAACGCCTACCTCTAAT